TTTTTTTTTTTGGGTTTGATTGTTTAGTTTTTGCTTGGACAATTGAGCTTTTGTATTTTTATATATTATATTACAAAGTTAGAATGCTATTATAGATTAAATACCAAAATGACATATTACCAAAGTTAGAATGCTATAATAATAATGTATAATATATATGTAAAATATATATATAATATTTTGTACGAAAAAAATGAAAGGGGACAAACGGGACGGTTCGGGACAAAAATATTCAAAACTGAGACCGACATTGTTTAAAACGGTTCGGTACCGGGAACGGGACAAAAATAAAAAGATCCTTTTTAGGAACCCTATTTTTCGGAACATAATCATTTCAGTCCGATTCAGTAAGGGGAAATTCGGTTTTTTTGCCCAGCCCTGTTGGCCCACAAATATGTGTCACAAAAATGGCATTACAGTTGGTAAACAGCAGTTGTGGAACCCAGTTTTTCTTAATTTGAAGGGACTGCCCACATTGGTACAAAAGAATGTTCCCTCCATTTTAAACGAATGGAGGTTAAAGTCCCCAGGTGCCATTTCTAGCCAGATCAATTATCTTACACCCATTGAACCCAAACACACACATTACATAAACAAACACCAAGAAACATACAGAATCCAAGAAGAAATTCACAAGAAAGAAAGAAGAATGGTGATGGTACTTCAAGGTTTGCAACAAATCCAGTTCACAGTAGTGTTCCTCACAATTCTCACCACAGTTGGGACTAGCAATGCTAACTGCCTCGACAAATGTGGTGGCGTAAAAATCCCATTCCCTTTCGGGACGGCACCCGACTGCTACCACAGCCGAAGTTTCTCTATCACCTGCAACACAACATTCAAACCCCCGAAGCCATTCCTACAGAACACCTCGATGGAAATTACGAATATTTCCCTCGACGGCAAGCTCACGGTCCTGAACAACATCACGCGCCACTGCGAATTCAACACGTCAGACGAAAGCAACGGTACATTCTCGTACACGAGCTCTTCGATAGTGCTCCCCGAGTACATGACTGTCAGCCACACCCACAACCGATTAACCATCGTTGGCTGTGACATATCGGGTTACCTCTCGAGCTTTCGGCTCAACCAGAGTTATCTGAGCGGGTGCGTGACCACTTGCGATAACAGCAGCAAGCGTGTGGCGTCGGGTTTCTCCTGCCAGACAAATATCCCCGAGCAGGCAAGGGACGTTGAGTTGTTTTTGTTGAGCACCGACGAGGACAACATAAACGCTAACAACAGCTGTGGCTACGCTTATGTGACGGAGCCAAGCGCAATCACGGAGAATATTACAAAGTTGAGGGACACAGAGAAGCTGCCGATGGTGGTTGATTGGGCCATAGGGAATGGGACTTGCGAGGAGGATAAAAAGGATCTCACCAGCTACGCTTGCAGGAGCAGGAATTCCGAGTGTTATAAGCTTGGTAATGATACTACTTATGGGTACCGCTGTAAGTGCAGCAAAGGTTATGAAGGAAATCCATACAAACTAGGTGGCTGTCAAGGTACATTACGCTGCTCAAATTCCCCGGTGTTTTTTTTAAAGAGATTTGGGTGTATAAACTGATAATCATTTTTTCCCACTGATTTGATATTGTTGATTTGTTAGTAATTAACATTATCGTGTCACAGATATAAACGAGTGCCAAAATAAAAGCATGTATTGCGAAAAGGAATGCGAGAACACAGTAGGGAGCTTTCGCTGTTTGTGTCCCAGTGGTTACCATGGCGACGGCAAAAAGGATGGAAAAGGTTGCATACCCAGTGAATCGTTTATTTTCAGAATTGCCTCAGGTTTCTTTCATTCACTCTTCCTTTTCTGCTTCGATTGAAAAGTAGGCACTTTATCTCAAGTGTGATCAATCAACCTTAGATATTCTCTTGATAATGACTTACAAATGAACA